CGAAGGAGATATCCAAGCTGGCTTTAGAGGCGCTGGTCTAGTCCCACACGACCCACAGGCTGTGCTATCTAAGCTTGATGTGGTGGTGCAGACACCTGTACAATCACCGCAACAGGTAGCCGCCTGGCAGGCGCAGACACCACGCAACGCGCGCGAAGTTGAGTCTCAAATTGGTCTCATTCAAGAGAGCGTGAGAAAACGCCGTGGGTCTTCTGCCAATTCACTCACTGAGCAGATCGCGCAGCTGAGTAAGAGGGCCCAGCAAATGGCACATAAAATGACGCTTATGATGGAGGAAATGGGTACGCTTCGAGCGGCTCTTGACGAGTCAAATAAGCGTAAAAGCCGCAAGCGGCGATACGTACGGACAGAAGAGACTCTTACTGTAGGCGAAGTACAAGAAGTATTAGCTGAACAGGCGGGTAGCAGTCGTGGTGATGGTGAGAGTGCGTCGAAGAGGGTGCGAGGAGAGCGGCGGTGCGGGCGTTGCAAGCAGACTGGACACAACGCTCGTACCTGCGTAGTTGAGATAGATAGTGCAAGTGATAGTAGCGATTCTGACAATTAATTTAGTGTATCGCAATAGTTTATTGACTGTGATAAAAAACTGTGATAACGTGTTGATGTAGATGTAGTGGTGGGGCGTTAGCGACTCGCTTGGGTTAGCGACTCACTTGTGAACCACGTTACATGTTTTTTTATATGCTATAATCAAAACACAACGTCTAGTGTCTATGCAGTCACGTAAAAGAATCCAGATCACGATTTCCCACTGAATAAATATCACGCGAACTGCCTGAACAGGCCAGAAGAAGACTAGGAAAAAAAAGTTAGGATATTGCGTTGTGGCTAGAATGGCCCTTATTCATGACTAATCTGACATGCTTGAAGCCTCGAGTATCCCACTCCGTAGCCCTAAACTGCTTCACAAAAGTCTTGACAATAATGCACGGATTGGTCCGCGCATCCTTATTGGATACACGCAGCCTGCGCACCCATTCCCTAGGCTCCACCTCGTCGAACTGCAGGCCTGCAGCCCGCAGTGCAGGAAGCAAGTCGTGGGTCCACGAGAAGCTCCTCGCGTTGGTCACATTGGCAACCATGGTTGCGGCGTCGCTGAGCGAGATTTCCGCTACGGCTTGCGCGACTACGTCGACGGGCGTCCAGCTCGGTGTCTCGCGGAGCGTGGGCAGCGCGCCGACGGTGAGTGCCGAGTGTAGCATGAGCGGAATGGCTTCGGTTGCATTCCACACTCCATGGATAGTGTCAGCGACGATTTGCCCGATCCGCAGCACGCGCGCTGTGAGGCCGGTTTGCGTCGCGGCGGCCATGCAGATGTGCTCTGCTACAGTACGCATTTGCTCTGTGCGTACCCCATGTCTTGGGCCCAGTCGTACTCAGCGAGTTGCTCCGGCGTGTGCAGCCCTAGACATCTAGCTACTGTGCTGGCGGACGAGCAAAAGTCAAATGTAGCTGGGGCGCGTGAAGATGAAGATGTAGCCAGGCAGAGGGCAATCAGATGATGTAGCCCGGAAATACAGTCTTGGAAGGATACCAAGCGCTTGTTGAAATTGACGCTCCACGCACAGTGGATCACGCCCGTGAGACTGGACGCCATATCTTTGTATGTTGCTTCGTCGAGGCCGAGACGAGGGCTCGCCAGGTCGGTTGCAAGCGCGCGCATCTTGGACAGCGCGAGTGTGTTGTAGATTTTCCGTTGGACGAGGAATTTCTCAATGCGATTCGAAGCGTCGGTGTTGTTGCAAGCGCGTACAAGGCAGTATACGACTTCAACGTCAGCCCGTGATACCAGTTGTGCGAGGACGTGGGCACCCAGGGAACCCGTGGCGCCGGTGAGCGCAATGCGCCGCTTCTTCTCGACTGGGTGGAAAGAGGCGTATCGCGAAACAAGGGCATCTATTTGCTCAGCTAGTGTTTCCTGTTTTTCTTCTTGGCCACTGCGAAGATGCTCAAGGTGAGCGCTTAGTGATGCGATTGATGGATGCTCAAAAACAACATTCTGGCCAAGCTTGTGGGTGCCGGTATCGACTATTTTCAGAATCTCGGTTCGCATCTAGATCCATTGGGGCGAGTCGATGCCCAGGGAGAAGAGATCAGTTGTGCGGTCGATTTCTTGGGCAGCTGGTATGTGCTTGGTTAGAATGGAGCGAAGGTGGTTTTCTAACTCCTGCCCAGTAAAGACCTTGCGATCGGTAGTACTAGCTGCAGCCGCGTCATAAGCTTCTTCAATCTCGTTTGCGAACTGCTTGTAGAAAGCCTGGCGAATAACGCTGCCCTTATCAGCTCGAGGGAACTGACAGCCATACGGTAGGACCCGGATCATGTCCTTGGAGATCCGAGTATATGCCTCAGACGCTTGGTTTGCTGCTTCAACAACAGGCCAGATTTTCTCGACGACCTCTACTGACGGTATGGTTTCAATAGCGAGCACAATCAAGACAACAAGGTAGGGTATGTAGCCTTGTACTTACCGGCACGGCACATCACGGCGACTGCAGCTCTCGCATGGCTGACCGCCAACCATGCCCCTGCCCACACACTTCATTCTCAACACGGGCGAACTCATTCCTGCTGTAGGCTTCGGCACATGGCAGGCCAAGCCCGGTGAAGTCGAGCGGGCGGTAGAAACTGCGCTCAAGGCTGGCTACCGTCATATTGATTGTGCTGCCATCTACCGCAACGAAGCAGAGGTCGGCGAGGGCATTCCGAATAACGGTATCTCAAGATCTGAAATATTTCTGACTGGAAAGCTCTGAAACACCAAGCATGCTCCAGAAGATGTCCAAAGCGCTCTCGAAAAGTTGCTGCAGGATCTTGGCGTTGGATACCTTGATCTGTTCTTGATGCACTGGCCTGTGTACGTCCTTCTCCCTGTTATCAGCCCGTATTGCGTACTAATAATCTTCCAGTGCCTTCAACGGCAAGCAGGGAAAATGGTTACCCTGTGTGAAGATGGCGTCTTCGACCTCGCGGATATCGACCCGGCTACCACCTCAAGGCTGTGGAGAAGCTGCACAGCACCGGTAAAGTACGCGCCATTGGCGTCTTCAACTTTACCACCAAGCGATTGGAAGACCTCTTATTCAAGATCGACGCTGTCCCGGCCGTGAATCAAGTCGAGGCCTACTTCTACCTCCAGCAACCCGCCCTCTTCGACTTCTGTAAGAGCAAGGGAATACTCATCGAAGCATACTCGCCTCTAGGAAACAACCAAACAGGTGAGCCTCGCACTGTTGATGACGAGCTTGTGGGTGTGTTGGGTTGTCGACCGGGTATGGATGGTAATCAACTTCTTACCAGCTGGGGCATCCAACGCGGCACTGTGGTATTACCCAAGAGCATCACGCCAAACCGAATCAAGAGCAACGTGCAAGTCAAGGAGCTGCCAAAGGACGCATTCGAGGAGCTCAACGCTTTAGAGAGACACAAGCGCTTCAACACCCAGTCGCGGTGGGGTTTCGACATCTTCGACGACGTTCGTGAAGAGAAAATCAAGAAATTACATAAAGCGTTGCTGAAGAAAATAGGTTAAAGTTTACCGTACTTAAGTATAAGTAGAGTGGGAATTTAGACGTGTAGAAGCGATACCGCAATGCATGCGAAAGTTCAACGTTTCACTACATAGTCCTAGGGCGGTAAATGGCTAGGAAGTTAGGAAGTACCCAACGATGGGTAGGGGTTAGGTAGGGGTGGCCCAAGCGTGGGTAGAGGTAGAGGTTGGGTCGCACAGACCAAGTGCCATGGTTGGGTGGGGGTGGTCAAAGCGCGGGTCAAGGTAGGGTAGGGGTGGTAGGAGCGTGGGTAGTGGTTGGGTAGGGTATCAGCTAACAACCAAGCCAACCAATTTCTGCCTATTCACTATCCTAACCACCCCTCTTAAATAGACCTTAAGATGAAATACTAGTTGCTACACAAAAGTTTACGAGACCTGATTGTGGAGTCCGAATACATAGTGTAGTACCGCCGACCATCTACAATCTGCAGCTAAAGCCGCCATTAATACTATAGCTTCACAACAGCTCAGGTTTGAACGAGTATCAATCTAGGTACATAGTATATTATAAGTATGATGTAACAATTCTAACAACCCATGACCATATTCGAGCTTTGTTGTACTCTGAATGAGATAGGAAGTATGCTGCGCTACTCCAATACATGATTATGACGACCAAGGCCTAGTAGTCTAATTACAATCACCCTGTTATGGATATATCACGTGGCTCTTAGAGTTATGACACATTCTATTAGGATGATTCTGCGACAGTAACAGATGACTATGAGAGTTGTTCCAGGTCATTTTTGCTGAATGATTGTGCTTTGCATAATACTTTGATTAATTCCAGACGTATCCTGAACCTCATATATCTAGACCGACGCAGCCCCCACAGAGAATCAAGAAGGCTTAGTTCTATTTTCATCTTCTATCGCTAGGACGGAAATGTAAGTTTTATTATCACCATCACGTTATGTACAAGTTGCCGCGCATTATGCTCACGTCAGCAAAATGCGCCACAAACTTGCAACAAAAACATGACAGAAGCCAATCTAGGGTAGGTGCAATATTAATTCGAGTAACACGATTCGTATATTTAATACGTTTCATCACCTTCTGCGGCGAGGTGCAGCTGTTACACCACCCTGCTTCAGGTAATACTGAGCTGCATATTCGGCTATATCTTCCAACAACCACTGTACCGGGACACTAGAAATTTTAGGTCTTTGATCATCCATAACAAGTATGGGTACGGTATGGACTAGGCGATTACTTCATACCTTGTTGCTAGCCTCGGTCCCGTTGGCAGCGGGCCAGTGCAAATGCGTAAGTTTGTTACAAAGCACTCGTTCATTATGGCCTGAGACCCTGACATTGACCAATCAAACAGAATCCCAGTCAAGCATGCTGGCCGACTGCTGCTGAATGGTCGAAATTCAATGAGACAATCAGTGGCAAACTGATCAAGACCGCTCCTGTCATGCTCCCTTGCTATGTGGGACCTAGCTACAACGCGGAGCAATGCGCACAGCTAAACGACACATTGTTCTATGACCCGAAATACGAAGCGCAGCAACCTGTCGGTTACGACTACCCGCTCAACGAAGCATGTCCACCACCAAGTACAACTGACGCTCCAGCCAGCGAGTGCCAGCTTGGCAACTCGCCCGTCTACGCCATCAACGTAACAACAGAAGCGGACATCCAAAACGGAATCCGGTTTGCCAAGGAAAAGAACATTCGGGTCGTCATCAAATCTTCTGGTCATGACTTTGTTCAAAGGTAAGCCGTGTAAGGGTGCTGGCCATCATTGTACTAAGCATGTATAGATCCAAGGGTTTCTATGGTCTCTCCATTTGGCTGTATCACTTTCGTGGCGGTTTCACTTTCAACGAGCCTGCGTCCATCTCGAGCGGGCGTCAAGGAAAAGCGTGGAACGGAACTAGTCTCACGATCAATGGCGCCTACGCTTGGTCAGATATCTACCCGACTGCCTGGGAGAAAGGTGTTATTGTCGTAGGAGGCAACCAAAATGTATGTGATATTCCAGCAACACAAAAATGAAGCCTGGAAATGCTAACTCATTGCAGGGGCCTTGCAGCACCGGAGGCTGGACACAGGGCGGAGGCCACAGCCCTGTAACCCACGATTTCGGCATGGGCGGCGACCAAGTTCTGTCTGCAAAAGTCATCCTCGCATCCGGCGAGCTCGTCGACGCCAGCCCAGACGTCAATCCGGATCTTTTCTTCGCCATCCGTGGCGGCGGCCCCGGCACCTACGGCATCGTAACCCAGCTGACGGTCAAGACGTATCCGGAGCGGAGCGTCCACCTCTTCTACATTGTGCTGGGCGCCCAGGGCACAGCAACTGTTAATGCATTCCTCGATGCCATGACCGACGTATACGCATCGTACCCTGCGCTCTCCAAGCAAGGTTTCGCCGGCTACGGCAACTGGGTCGCGCATTCAGCCAACGGGCTGCACCAGCACAAATTCACAAACGTGTGGTACCAAGCCTTTACCATCACCGGAAAAACCGCCTCAGAAGCCCAGCACCTATTCCAAGCCTTCGAGGACACAGTGCTAGCCTACAACTCGACGCGCCTCGGCATCCAGGTCAACATCACGAAATCCAGCTACACAGACTACGGCAAGTACTTTGCCAACAAGACGGGTACAAATGCCAATGTAGGCGGCATCTCGGCGCTATCATCCCGGTTCCTGGATTCGAAAGCGTTGAGTGGTGATAAGAAGCGGCTGCGCGCTGCAATCGATGTCATGGCCGGTGAGCCGGGCAAGCCCGTGTACCACACGCTTGTGCACCACGGCCTCGAGGCCACACACGGCCTGCAGGACAGCGAGTCGGCCGTCCAGCCTGGGTGGTACCGCTCGATTATACTTGATATCTTCGAGCGCGACGTCGTCGATTTCACCTACATCAACAACGTGGAGCCGTTTTCGTATATCAGGTCGAAAGTGGAACCCGTGTACCGCGATCTGGCGCCTGCTGTCGGCACGTATATGAATGAGGCGGATTGGGGCAGTGTGCATTGGAAAGAAGATTTCTACGGGGTGCATTTTGAGCGGCTGAGTAGCGTCAAGCAGATGGTTGATCCGGAGGGGCTGTTCTACTGTATTACGTGTGTGGGGAGTGAGAAGTGGGTGGTTGGTGATGATGGGGCGTTGTGTAAGAGCATGTAAGGAGGTTTGGGGTTGGTAGAAGCAGGTATTTGTTTATGTAATGGAGATATCTTGCTTAGTAGCGACCGACTTTTTATTGTCACTCATGTCTTTTTCGAAGGAGATGGGGGACTAATATGCACTGAAGTCACGTTTTAATTCATCATTGAATAGTTTTGATTTATTACATAGCTTGTGAAAGGATAGATTTCACAGCCAGTTTTAAAGACTAGAGCGAGTTCCCAGCCCAGATCTCGAAAGCACACTATGATGCGGCGCGCCCTCAGGAGTAACAAAAGCCTGCGAAAAATTAGCAATCCATTTCGTTCAAAAAACAAAGAGCACTGGGTAGAAGCCATACCTTGGTCAACCCGCCGTCCACGACCAGCTCCGTCGCATTTACAAACGAACTAGCATCACTAGCCAGAAAAACAGCTGCACCTGCCACCTCGAGCGGCGTGCCCCAGCGTCCCTGGGGAAGATGCACTTCTCTGCGCACTCTCCTCGCCGTCTGACCCTTTGCAGTCGCAGGAACACTAGCAGAAGAGCCTTTACTATCATCATCCTCGGCATCCAGAAAATCCTGCAGCATAGGGCTATCGAGGGGCCCGGGACAGAGGGCGTTGAAGCGGAAGCCCTCGCGGGCATGCACGATGCCGAGCTCTCTTGTCATTGCGATGACGGCGCCCTTGCTGGCGGTATACGCGAGCTGTGAGGTTGCGCTGCCGATGAGACCCGCCACAGAGCTTAGGTTGATGATGCTGCCGCTGGACTTGCGGGCGCGACGCATGCTTAGCACTGCGTGCTTGCAGCCCAGCCATGTGCCCAGCACATTGATCCTGTATGTTAGGTCCCAGGCGCGCGGCGTCACGGTTACGGCGTCGCCGTCGAGGTCTGTCGGGAACACGCCTGCGTTGTTGACCATGATGTCGATGCCGCCGTGCTCGTCGAGCTGGCCAAGCAAAGCGGCGACTTGCTCTTCATTCGAGACGTCGCAGACTTGGGTCAGGAAGCGTGTGCTGGAACATGAGGGCTTGGACGCCAGCAGCTTCTCAAGCCGCGCTAGGGCGTCGCTGGACACGTCCGACAGGAGAATGGTACTCGCACCCGCTTCGGCAAAGCTGATTGCCGTTTGGGTACCGATGGCCCTGCAGGTAGTTTTAGTTGTAGTTCAATCGTAGCGTTGTAGTAGTCTAAAGCTTGTGGCGCAGAGACAAATAGCTTCATGGTACTAGTCTGTATGTATATATGTATTACACTGGATTATAGAGCAAGGAAGACGCACCCTGCGGCACCCGTGATGACGGCGTTTTTGCCCTTGAGAGATAGCATGCTACTCATTTTGGTCGGACTCGTGCTGTGTACAGGAGATTGATGTCGACTTTTGATACAGCAGGCCCTACATTGAGCCGCATACGCATGCGGCCATGGTCGTTGTAAACAGGCATTCGCCAATATGCATCATCGAATGCATCTGGCTATCCATGGTCAGGGTGTGGCAGCTCGTGTTTGTCAGGGTTGTGTAGATGCCGCAGGGGTGATGGAGAGCGTTACGTTATATGTGGTGAGATGTGGTAAGCAGAGACATGAAGGATGAGCGGCTTACCGAATTAGGACTAGTCTACTCTGATTGCAGAACTGCGTAGATGACGAGGTAGCAGGAAGCACGTGCAAGGTTTCACGTATCGTTTAGAGCATAACGAGCAAAGATGGACGCATAGCATAGTAGTGTATTATTTCATTCTCTGATGGCTGATGTCCATGGAGCTCTTGCGAGCCTCTTCCGCGCTGAATGGAGCACGCCCGGCGCGCAAATCCTTCAACCCCCAAACCATACCTCACCATGGCAGAGGCTTGCCTTCAAACGTCAGGAACTGGCCCGACTGCTCTGGCGTCGCATTGTCAATGACCTTGAGCATGCCCGAGACGCTGTCCTCAAGTGTAGTCGGCGGCTTCTCAATCTGATAGTCGATGGCCTTGAGCGCCGGCTGCCACTGATCAACGACATATTGGCCTGCGCGCGTCTGCACCCATCCTGGATGCAGAGGAATGGCAATCAGACGCGTTTCGCCCTTTGTGCCGTTGAATTCGAGATGGATGGAGCGCGCCAGCCAGTTTTGTGCCGCTCGACTGGGACCGTAGGCGCCGCCGCCAAATGCATCCATGTCGGCGATGCTTCCGACCGACGAAGTGACCCAGATGAGCTTGGGAGTCGATTTGGCTTTGAGCAGATAGGGCTTCAGGCCCTGGAAGACGAGCAGAGGCGCAATTGTGTTGGTCTCGAAGGCGGCGCGTAGGTCCTCGGCTGTGGTCTCGCTTGGCTGCACCATTGGCTGAGCCCCTCCGGCGTTGAGGATCAGAACATCAATGTGGGCAATGTTCAATTTGGCAAATGTGCTCTCCACGTCTTTGGGCGGGATGGCCGCCGAAAAGTCGTATTGTATGATTTCAAGCGTGCTGCCCGTTCCCTTGGTGACGCTCTTGACCTCCTCTTCCAGCGATTGCTTGGCCTGCTCGCTCCGCACAGTCGCCACCACTGTGTGCTGCGGCCGCGCAAGGAGTGATTGCACGAGGCCGAGGCCAAGGCCTCGATTGGCGCCCGTGACGACGTAGACTTTGTTTTCTGTGGTGACCGACATTGGTGAAATCGGTGTGGCGTGGAAGTGGGTGGCAGTAAGAAAGGGGTGAAAAGGATGGGAGAAGGCGGCCTAGGCGAGAGCTCTGCGGCACAGGCGGGGGCTTTGAGCCTTTAAATCCCTCGATGCTGGTGCCTGAAAGAAAATCCACACAGCCGCTCTCTCACCTAATGATAGCCGCGGAATGCGTACAGTCTCATGTTACCTGCCTAGTTGGTCGGGGTATTATCGCACATGGACCCTCACCAAGGGTTAGCCCAGCTGATCAGCGTCACCCAATCTGAGGACTCCGGCACATATGGGGCCAATTTTGAGCTTCAAGATTTACGTGACCGTGCAAGCTCTGGATTCAAAGTTATTGCAGATTCTGCAGTTATTGGGCGCACATTTCAACACTCGATCGTTGCGTATATCATTTCAGTCTAGCCACTTGACAAAAGTGGGTGGGAAACTAGTACTCCTCTCTAACCTCTACATAGGGCATGATTCGCTGGAACATCAACTCTGATCAACATGCCGTGTCTCGCATCTACCCTCACTTATTTTACCAAGGTTTTCTCTCCACTCTCGCTTGTAGCCTTGCTCGAAGACACAACCTTTTCGTCCCCAGCGTTGATTTCTCCTGATTCCGTAATGACCTCTACAGTGCGGTCTTCTTTCTCTTTCTTGAGTTCACGCCAAGGGATAAAGGGCCAGCTCAAGACGGACATGGCGCACAACACTGCCGCCATCAGGAATACCTTTTGCAAACCCGAGTTGTAGACATCCAAAGCTGTTGCTAGGTCCTCTGGGGAGATAATGTCTCGCAGCGAGCGAAAATCATTGATCAATGTATCCCGTGGCACTCCGGGAAACTGGCCCTCGAGCTTTAGAACCTCACCGAGGAAGATGGCTTGCGCGATGCTAATGAAGATGGAGCCTCCGAGGATATTGCCCAGGAGCACAGCAGATGTTCCGTAGCCAACATCTGCTGGCTCGACCGATGCTTGGGCATTGACGAGAGATTGCTGGATGCCTATGCCGTAGCCGGCGCCCAATACCACTTGATATCCTATCCACTGAGCTCTGGGACTGCCGGGATGCAGCGATGACAATAGACCAGCGCCAATGGCAGACAGAGTCGTAGCTGTGAAGACGAAGGGAGGCAAGTATCCGACAACCGGAACCAGCGCTGCTGCAACGGTCGCAATTGAGACTTCGGATATCACCATCGGTAAGACGCGAACTCCGGAGCCCTCAGCTGTCACGCCCATGATTGCCTGGAACCATACCGGAAGCTACTTTCAGTCAGCTGGCCATTTCATAGCCTCAACAATGCTAGATGCGGCGGACTCACATAATAGAGAATGATCCACATGCCGCTGGAGATGCCGAAACCGAACCAGAGAGATGCAATAAACGCTTTTCTTTTGAGCAAGCGCATCGGAAACAATGCCCCGTCACCGAGTCTGGTTTCCCAAAACCCAAAAACGACAAAGGAGACGAAGGAAATAACGAAAAGCGCGATGATGCGACCATTCGCCCACGGATATGTAGCGCCTCCCCATTGCAAAGCCAGGAGCAAGCAAGTGAGCGAGCCAATGATGATGAATCCTCCAATAAAGTCCAGCTGTCGCAGTTTTTCGAGGGTTGATTTTCTTGCATTCGTGTCATTGCCTGGTGTTCTGATGGGCTTCCGAAACGCGATGAGCAAGACGCCGAAAAGGACACCGCCGAACGGAAGGTTGATCCAGAAACCCCACCGCCATCCGATCGTGTTGGTAATGACGCCTCCAATGACGGGTCCTATGATACTAGAAACACCCTCTAAGCCGCCAATGATGCTGATGAACATGGCTCTGTACCGTAGGGGTGTAATCAACGCAGTGATGCTGTGAAAATGTCAGCTAGATGCTGTTCATACGCGCCCTCACTGCCCCCTTTCGAAAACGTACGTCAAACCGCCAGACAAAATTCCAGCACACCCAAGTCCAGCAAACGCTCGTCCGACGATGAATGTTGGCGAGTTTTGAGAAAGAGCGCACATCAAGCACCCAATCTCTAGAATCGTCAGGGACCCCAGGAAGACATTTCTCGGCAGGAAGAGGGTGATGAGCTTGCCGAAGAAAGGCAACGTTGCGCCCACTACCAAGAGGAAGACGGCACCGTACCATCCAATGTCCCCGCCAGATTTGAATTGCGCAACTAGGGTCGGATTGATAGTGGCCACGATAGTCGAATCCTATTATTGGATAATGGTTAGTCCACTTTAGCATCAAAGAGGCTGCCAGTATCTTACCAAAGCGCCCATGAGAACAACGAGGCCAATCGAGCCTATGGTTAGCACACATTCCATAGTGCTCAGCTTGGGAGCTTCAGTGGCCGAAGCCGTGGATGAAGGTGGCGCATCTCCATCTTCCTGAAGCCTCTGGCTGTCGGCTGGCACTGCAACGTCCGCATGAGCCATGATTCAACTTTTTTGAAAAAAGGTAAAAAGTTCAATTGACGGGCAAGTGCATTCAGCACGATGGAAGAAAGGGACTGTGCCGCGAAATCTGTCCACGTGCCTCTACTAGTGCACATTCAGTCAAAGGAGGCGGGTAGAGGGTCTACGCGAGATGTAACACTACGCTGCAGGTGGTGTGGGGGCATATTTGGTCTGGCCTCATGCTGAGCACATCCCTCGGATATGTCAGCGCTTAGTCCATATTGAGCGTATGCGGCACAGCTAACGCTCGCCACTACTACATGCGGCATCTTTTGTGCGCCTGTCGGGCAGAAGTGTTAATCAAGTCATAGATTTCTGTGATGCAAGTCAGTCATAATGTGATAATGTGATTTCGCATCCGGAGGAATGGGCGCCTGGGAGATCAATCGCATACCTAGTAGTAGAGGCCAGTTCAGGCTGGCTTGAGCAACCACTACACACCTCTTCAACTTCCTTCTACTGCAACCGTGACCTCGTCTCGCTTGCGACCAGTTACTGGCTGTGGTGTGAAACTTGATCGTCTGCGATTATCCTCTGCGGAGCCGTCGAACACTTATTGCACCCATCTTTTGCGTGCCATTGCGCAAGTAACCCGATCAAAGAGAAAATTTCAAAATCATGGCGCAAACTTCCATGCCAGTGTCCAAAGAGGTGGTGGTGGTGTGCAAGCTGCCGGTGTTCCCTGGGAGACAGGAGGAGTCCAAGGCTATCGAAAGGGAGGAGCTAAAATTTAGTGCGCCATCTACGCCATTGTCGGCAGCAACACTCGAAGCTGCATGGTCTGCATCACTCTGCTTGTACACCAATCTATCGCAGATCGCCTTCCAAATCAAAGCTGCCAACGCGAAGATTGCGAGCAGATCGTGCGAAATACTGGAAACGACTGAGCTGCGATCCATCTCGAGCGGCCTTCGCAGCCATGAAAACGCGTCGGATTTGGCCGAGCAGGACCAGAGCAACACGGCCATTGTATACGCACGTAGCGAAGACGTCGTCTCCGCTGATGGAGGCTCAACCCGAGAGTCTGCAGTTTCAGAAAAACTCTTATGGCAGGGCGTTGATCTCGCCTTGGTTGTCGAGCCATCGGCATACACCCTGATTTTCCGTCGCAATTTCATGTCCAACCTGGAAGCCAGAAATTTTGGCACAACTCTTTCGTGCACGCTTGATGCTCTCCTGGAAATTGATAGCTCCAAGGTTTTCAGAGACCTCGGAATCAGCCAGCACGACTTGCAAACCATGCTGGAATGGAACAAGATAGAATTCATATCCAAGAAGTCCTTGGTTCATGCCGAATTCGCTAGGACGGTTGATTCACAGCCTGATGCCGAGGCAATCGATTCATGGGATGGCCGAATGACCTACAGAGAGCTTGATACTCTTTCCACAAATATATCAAGAGAGCTGCGACGCCGCGGAGTCGGCATCGGATCGTGGGTTCTGGTTTGTTTCAACAAATCACGCTGGCCTGTCGCCTCTATGCTGGCTGTGCTCAAAGCAGGCGCGGCCTTCGTCCCAGTGGATCCTAGATTTCCAGAATCGCGTATACGACAGATCATCGGGGTCACAAAGGCCAGCCATGCGGTGGTCGCCGAGGATGATCTTGCCGCGCTGCTAAAGAGAGCATCATCAGAACTGCAGGTCATCCAAGCCACCCGGATCAGTGCCGCAGATCCATCGACCGAAGGGCATACTGAGGATCTTGTAATACAACCACATCACCCTGCGATATGCTTATTTACATCTGGAAGCACTGGAGTGCCCAAAGGCATCATTGCCCCTCATGCTGCAGTCTGCACCGGGGCTTGGGAGTTTGGAAGGGTCGCCAACGCAACCCCTGCAGAGCGCATGCTTCAGTTCGCATCATACACGTTCGACATGTCCTATGCGGACATAATCACCGCCCTGCTGCATGGTTCCACACTCTGCATTCCATCCGAGGATGACCGTATGGGAAATCTTCAGGAATACATCCAACGCTCACGCCCAACGTGGGCAAACCTGACGCCCACAGTGGCACGGCTTCTCGACCCTGCTGTTTGCTGCAAAACAATAAAAAAGGTGCTGTTGGCCGGTGAGCTGGTTAAAGAGTCAGATGTTGCTGGCTGGATAGATCACGGCGCGGAGGTGTATAATGTCTATGGCCCAGCCGAGAATATCCTCATCATGAATTTTGGACCTATTTTCAAAGGAGCTGCTTACAGCACGTCTCGACCAAGGAATTCTCGCCTTTGGGTTGCCGACTTGGAAAAGCGTCGCCTGATGCCACTTGGCGCCGTTGGCGAACTGATATCTGAAGGACAGCAGATTGGAGATGGATATCTAAACGACCCAACTCGAACGGCTGCAGCCTTTCTGTCCGACGTCGGATTTATCCCGCATCCGACGCCTGAGCAACCATTTCCACGGCGATTCTACAAAACTGGTGACCTGGGACGACAATTCACAGATGGCTCGTTCGAGGTAGTTGGTAGAGTCGACTCGCAAGTTAAGATTGGAGGCCAGCGCGTGGAACTTAGTGATATCGAGTCACATATTAAGACGTGCAGCGCGGCTGTGGTTCTTCCCAAAAAGGGACCACTGGCTAACCGGCTAACTGCAATCATCGAAGATCAAAAGAGGCAAGACGCAGATGATTCTTACTTCACAACTCCTGATTCAGCATTGGTGGAGGAGACACGTAAAAAGCTAGGCGAAAGCCTTCCTCCGTACATGGTCCCATCCCACTGGCTGGGAATCGAAAACTTCCCATACTCTACCTCGTCAAAGCTGGATAGGAAACTTCTCCTGAACAAGGCTGAGACCCTGTCCCAGGAACAACTGATTCGTCTCACCCAAACGGAAGACGATTTGGAAGTTCAACAGACAGTCTCTCTCAACCAAGTGGAAACGCTCCTTCAGGAAATCTGTAGCCAGATGCTCAACCTTCCGAAGGAAAGAGTCATCATGACCCAGTCTTTTACTAAGCTCGGAGGAGACTCGATCACAGCTATGCAAATTTCTGCCGCAACAAGGAAATCCGGCGTCGGATTTCTTTCTGTCAAGCATATCTTAACATCGAAATCGCTCCTGGACGCTGCTGGCCATATAACAGAGCAAAAGTCTTCACAATTGGAGATCCCAGTGATTGAGGCGGAACAGCTCTTCCATCTTTCACCGATGCAGCAATTCTTCGTAGAGACAGCGCGTACTTCTTCAGCCTGGCATCACTACAACCAGAATGTTCTCTTGCGGTTGACAGTGGATGTGCAGCCGCAAATCGTCCAACAGGCGCTAGCCGATATCATCCAGCGGCACCCCATGCTGCGTGCGCGGTTCCGAGCCTCTTCAGATGGCGAATGGATGCAATACATTGCTGCTGCGAAAGAATCTGAGTCCACATTAGAAGTCATTTCGGACCCCGTATCAAGGGATGAGCAAAAGCAAAGAATGCTTCAAGCGCGGCAGTCACTCAATCTGTTCGACGGCCCCATCGTGCGCGCGCAACTTTTCACAAACACCACTGGAAAAGACTCGTTGCTGTTCATCGTTGCGCACCATATTGTAATCGATTTGGTCTCTTGGAGAGTCATCGTGGAAGAACTAGAAGCTTTCATTGCTGCCCGGCTCAGGACACATAGCCAGGCAATTACGCCCATCTCACACGATCAGTCGCAATCAATTCACTTTTCTGCCTGGGCTGAGCTACAAAGGCGGTACAGCCGCCGACTCGTTTCTGCACAGACGATCCCATATGGGCTATTAGTGCCTGACACCGACTTTTCTTTCTGGGGGATCTCGCCGTCTCAAAATGTGTACAGCGATGTGCAGGAAACACGTATTGCTCTCGACTCATCGCTCACGTCTCAGTTTCTCCACGAATGCCATCGCACGCTTCGAACAGAGCCTGTAGATATAATCTTGGCAAGTATCTTCATGTCATTCAGCAAAGTATTTCCAGAGTACACGCTGCCTGCTATCTTCAACGAGTCTCACGGAAGGGAGCCATGGAACGACCAGATTGACATTTCCCAGACCGTGGGATGGTTCACTGTCGTCGCGCCTATTCTCTTGGAGAACGCCAATACTGGCAATGTTGTGGACGTGGTTCGCCGCATCAAAGACTGGCGTAAAGCAATGCCCGTCAAGGGGTTTCAGTACTTCTCATCCAAGTACCTCACTGAAGAGGGACGATCGGCTTACAAAAGCCATCTGCCAGCTGAGATTCTCTTCAATTACGAGGGTCGATACCAATCTCTAGAAAAGAGAGATGCGATTCTCAAACCTGAATCGTGGACAGCAGGCGAGGAGTTGGCGGACATGGGTCCCAATCTTCAGAGGTTCTGTTTATTTGAGTTATCGGCCGCTGTTCTTTCCGATGGAAAGCTGCATCTGACAAGTGCATGGAACTCCAAAACACGGCATCAAGACCGAATACAGTCTTGGCTGGAGTCTGCTCTGCCTTCCGTTCTACAGGATGTCGTCGCATCGTTATCCCTTGAACAAGAGCAACTGACTCTTGACGATATCGGACAACGCACCACCATGGACTATTTCGAGGTTGATTCTCTTGCGCAAACGATACTCACCATTCCAGAAGTCAAGAGTCTTAACGACGTCGAGACGATTCTGGACGGATCTCCAATGCAAGATTCTTTGGCCTTGAGCCAGGTAAAAGCTACCAATGTGGACGCGTACGAGATCGACTTCACATGGGAGGTCACGAAAAGTCACTTTGATGGAGCAAATGAGGCTATCGGCTCCGATCAGCTCCTAGCAGCTTGGCATGAGACAGTGGCATCCCATTCCACACTCCGGACGGTCTTCTTGGAATCGGCAAGTGCCACTGGGTCGAATATGATTTACCAAATTGTTCTCAAGAAGCATGCAGCATGCGCTATCCTTCTCAAAGCGGAGAACTCTCAGGATGCACTCCAGCAACTGAGCAGCTATACGATGTACCGAGACCAAGGCCTCTTCGCTGACAGGAGGCCCCCGCATAGGCTCCTTATCTGCTCAACCTCTGATGGGAAGATGTTTGTGAGGCTTCAGGTGAACCATATTCTGTTCGACGGAATGTCTCAGATGCCATTGCTGAAAAGCCTTTCAAGAGCATACTCCAAAAGTGCACCGGCTTTGGATAGCTCACGAAACACCTTTGGTGAGTTCATACATTACATCCGCGACCCACAGCGACGGAACCGCAGTCTGTTATACTGGCAGGACCATCTCAAGGGCGCCAAGCCATGTCTTTTCCCTCATTTGTTAGACACCAGGATGGACCAGGAGGCACCCAAGTCCCAGAAGCTGCAGAGATGCCACGCGCCAGTGCATCTAGAGGTGCAACTATCAGACCTACAACGCGTTGCAGGCAATTTACAGGTGACCATACCAACTCTGGTTCATTTAGCATGGGCGCTCGTGCTGCGGCTGTACACGGGCGAGAACCATGCTGTATTCGGATACCTGGCTTCAGGGCGCGATGCCCCTATCGACGGCATCGAAGACGCAATTGGACCGTTTATCGCCATGTTTGTCTGCTTCGTGAACTTTGGCCAGGACGCAGATTCGTCTTTGGTCGAGTTGATGAACAAAATGCAGGAGTCCTCAGCCGATGCCATTGCCCATCAAGGAACCTCTCTCGCCGAGATTCAGAGCGCCATAGGATTGCCAGGCAACTCCTTGCTATTCAACAGCGGTATCTCATTCCTGCCTAAGCTTTCGCGACAATCTCAGATAGACCGCGGCCATGATCTGGTCTTTGATACTATCGCGGAGAAGGACCCCACCGAGTTCGACTTGTCTCTGTTTGTTGAACTCGATGATCTTGAGGGACAAATTGCGATGCGCTTTGACTTCTTGGGTTCGGCCTTTGGGAGCGAGCACATCAAGAATGTGGCTGGCTCACTTAGTCACATGCTCTCAGAGTTAGTCCGCAATCCTCATCAAAGCCTGCGCCAAATTTTGAAGCCGGGCAAATGCGACATGGCTTCACTGCTTCAGTGGAATAGCCCCTTAATTACTGCCCAGGAAAAATGCGCGCACGATATCTTTGCCGAACGGGTGCGAGAGTACCCAGACAGAGAGGCAATTTACAGCTGGGATGGAGTTATGACGTACAAGCAGCTTGATGACGCATCTACCTCTGTCGGCCGACACTTGGTGCATTACGATATTGGCCCAGAGGTATTGGTTCCGGTGTGCTTCGAGAAATCGCTTTGGACAGTTGTTGCTATACTTGGTATCCTCAAAGCTGGGGGCGCATTTGTGCTACTCGACCCAGCACACCCAGAAGCACGTTTGTGGAACCTTATCAACGAATTGGAAGCATCGGTCGTGGTATGCTCGCCCTTGACAGCAGAATCACGAGGCTTCAAAGCCCGTGCGCCCACCGAAGGTAGAACCATCTCCATCATCGAGATCAGCCAAGGGCTGGTTGATGAGCTGCTTTCTTCCGCAAAAAGCGAATTGGACAATGTACCAGTATGCGAGTCAGTGAAACCAGACAACCTCATGTACGCAGTGTTCACTTCTGGTACCACGGGCACACCAAAGGGCACTCTGATAACGCACCGCGCATTGGCCACTGGATTGAGAGAACATGCGGTTGCTACGGGCATGACGTTGCTAGGACCCGACACTAGGTCCTTACAATTCGCATCGTACAGTTTTGATGCGTCAATCGGTGACATCTTTACCACCATTGAAGTAGGTGGCTGTCTTTGCATTCCGAAAGAAGAAGACCGTAGCCCGGCCGACGTCACAGCTTTCGTGGCAAGAAGCAGGGCCACTTGGGCAGGTATCACTCCTTCCTTTGCAGCCCTACTAGACCCGCCATCTGTAGCCACTCTGAAAGCCCTCTGCCTGGCAGGCGAACCGCTTTCTGTGTCGCAGGTCAACGCATGGGCTAGCCGCCTTCAGTTGATCAACATGTATGGTCCTACTGAATGCACGGTGGCATGCGTATCACACTCGGCCGTCACCCGGGAGATTGGCGCATCGAACATCGGACGTGGATACCGCTGTGCTACATGGATTGTTGATGAGAACGATCACCATACCCTCCGGCCAGTAGGCGTTATTGGCGAGCTGCTCATCGAAGGACCTATACTGGCTCGAGGCTACCTCAAGAGGCCGGAGACCACGGCGGCAGTGTTCATCGATAGCCCCGAATGGCTCCAGGGCATTCGGGCAAACAGCAAGCTCTACAAAACAGGAGATCTAGTCCGCTACAACTCTGATGGAACATTGAACTTCATTGGAAGGAAAGATACACAGATCAAGATCAACGGCCAGCGTGTTGAGGTTGGTGAGATTGAAACTGTACTGAGCACCGGCCTCAAGCGAGACGACAGCCCTATCATTGTTGATTTGCTCAAGCGGGCTAGCCTCGGGGAGAGTGACTTGCTCGTTTGTTTTGTCTGCGTAAGGCCCGACGTAGAGGCTTCTGCGAGCGAGGAAATCATTCCTACGGATTCAGACGCGATCGAGAAGCTACGTACTGTGGTAGCTAAGATACTGCGTGATCCGTCTACAACATCATCGCTCCCGCGATACATGCTTCCCCAAGCATATATTCCGATCAACAGGATCCCGCTCTCCGTATCTGGAAAAACAGATAGACGCGCTCTGCAAGCAGCAACGTCTGAACTGACCCGTGCACAGCTGGTTGGGTACACAGCAGCACTTACCGTTTCGGCCGATGATGATGACCTCGATACCGATGCAGAGGTACTTCTAAGCAGTCTGTGGGAGAAGGTTTTGAATGTTCAAGTGACCAGCAAGAGAAGCAACTTCTACAATCTCGGAGGAGATTCAGTGATTGCCATGCGACTGAGGGCGGAATGCCGACGCGTTGGGATCGATCTTTCCATTGCAGAAATCTTCACCAATCCAGATCTCGTCGACATGGCAGGACTTTTGACTCTCGCCTCAAGTCAAATCTCGTCAACAGCCTCTTCGGATCTGGTCTCGTCAAATGCATCGACAATCAGCGAAGACCATTGCAGCGAGCCATTCTCGCTAGTGCGCCATCTTGACATCAAGCTCGACAACAAATCACTCCAAGAGATCGCGGCAGAATGCTCGTTATCTGTCGAAGACATTGAGGACATTTATCCCTGCAGCCCCATGCAAGAAGCGTTGATGGCTTTATCTGCCTCAGATCCTAAACAGCAAGCTTACTGCCTCCATGCAGCCTTCACCTTCCCTCCTGGAATGGATATTCATCGTTTCCTCCAAGCATGGGAGCATACCAGTGCTCGATTTTCAATACTGAGAAGTCGAATCATCTTGGGGCCTTCTGGTAGCTTTGTCGTCGTCGCTCGATCTCCTCTCGCAGCTTATTCTGTCACCGGAAAATCATGTGCAGAAGAGATGGAGTCACAACGGAGTCAAGCATTCTCCTACGGATCCCCACTGCTCCGATTGGGTGTAGTTTCAGGACAAGAGGGTACCCCGAGTTCCTTCATCGTCAGTATTCACCATGCAGCCTATGATGGTTGGTCAATGAGATTGGTCTGGGACGCTGTCATTGGTTTCTTCCATGGAACCCCAGGTCCAGTTGACCGCAGCCCGCCGTTCCAATCATTCATCAAGGAGCTCAATATGCAAAGCACGTGGCCTTCTGAAGGTTACTGGAGGGGTCAGCTGATTAGTCAAGACGAAAACGGCTTCAAGTGGCCACCGGTGACGAGCTCCCATAAGCCGTCTGCAAGTTCAAGCAAGAAGTTCCACTTCGATTACAGTGTAGAGACTAGTCGAAATCTTTCTGTCACCCCAGCCGATCTTGTCAACGCCGTGTGGGCCATGACACTCGCGAGGTACTCCGACAGTACTCTGGTCTCGTATGGCGTTACTCTATCAGGCCGAGACATTGAGCTCTCCGGTATCGAAGAAATTGTTGGACCGACCATTGCTACTGTCCCCAGGCAAGTAGAAGTCCGACATAATATGAGCCTAGCCGACTACTTGCGATCATTACAACAAGTGATCAATTCAGCATTGCCTCATCAGCATCTGGGTCTCCAAAAGATCCAAAGCCTAAGTCCAGCTGCTCGGGAGGCTTGCGACTTCAACACACTACTGGTTATTAGTCCGGGTTCGCTTACCGACAACTCCCTTCTCAACGACCTTGGAATTGTTCCCTTGCCTATCGATTCGGCAGATTTCCATCCCTATCCTCTTGTCCTTGAATGCAGTATTGAAGACGGTTCACTGAACATCGAAGCCGCCTTTGATCCTCGCTGCATTGATGAACTGACTCTTATCTATGCAATGCAGCAATTCGGCCACATTTTGCAAAATGTCGGAAATTGTAGCTCGAGCTCAGCACATTGTGACATTGGCGGCCTCATGGCGACAGCTCCCGGCCATATCGAAACCATTCTCAGTTTCAATTCAGGAAAGCCAGAGAACTTTGCACCAAGATTTGTGCATGAAATAGTAGAGCAAACCGTTCAGGAGTACCCATCTGGCATGGCTGTAGTTTCTCACGACGCGACTTTGACATATCAGCAGCTGGATACGTTTGCCAACATTCTGGTGGACCACATACTCGAGCGCAAACCTGATAACAGTCAATCTTGTTTTGTTGGCCTACATATCGACAAGTCAGCAGCCGCATTGGTATCGATGCTTGCAATCCTCAAAGCAGGCTGTGCTTTTGTACCTCTTGATCCCACGCAGCCCGCGTCGCGTCTTGAGTCTCTAGTCGACTCAGCGAATATCGAGGTCATCTTGACTTCTCCAAATCACGCGAAGAAGTTGGGAGATATATTCCCACGTCGCTGTGTATTACCGATTGATCTATCTTCACTCTCCCCCTCTGCAACAAGACCTAGCGGTTCCAGGCAGCGCGATACCCAGGCTTCTCCTGCAGACCAGTTAGCATACCTCTTGTACACATCTGGAACTACCGGCAAGCCAAAAGGAGTTGAAATCGATCATGCAGCCTGGTCGAGTGCCATAGCTTTCCAGAAAGATCACTTCAAATTGAGCTCGACCACACGCATGCTGCAGTTCAGTAACTTCACTTTTGATGTCAGTCTTTTCGAGATTTTCACCACGCTGGCTGCTGGAGGTTGTGTATGCGTTCCATCCGAACAGGCACGCATGGATGATTTGGCCACGTCGATTCTCGAGATGCAGGTCAATGTGCTATCATTGACACCGACCGTTGCGAGACTCTTGAACGGCGACGCACTTCCAGATGTGAAACTCGTCGTTTTCGCTGGAGAGGCTTTGGCACAGCCAGATATTGATGCTTGGGTACAGCCCGAACGACGCATTGTCAATGCGTATGGCCCTACCGAGGCGTGTATCTATGCGACCGCTAGAGACATCATGCAGGGCGGTGATCAAAAAAGCAGCCGCAACATCGGAAAGGGACTCGGCGTAGACGTATGGGTCATGAAGCCCGAATCAAACACCCTCGCGCCAATTGGTGCGGTGGGTGAGCTTTGTATTAGTGGTCAACAACTCGCACGCGGCTACCACAGCATGGAAGAGGCTACACTACGCTCTTTCACCCAAGAGTCTTTCAGTGCTGCCCCTGAATCAACGCACACAGTGCGGATTTATCGCACTGGAGATCTGGTTCGATACGAGTCAGATGGGAGTCTTGAATTCCTCGGCCGACGAGATGGCCAAATCAAGATCCGCGGTCAGCGCATTGACGTTGGCGAGGTGCAGTACCACATTCAAAGGTCCATGGCTGCCGACACGCTCTTCCGCCATTGCACTGTTCAGCTCTACAAACCATCAGCTGGTGATCCTCAGCTAGGTCTAGCCAAGGCAGATCCGGTATTGGTAGCATTCCTTGTCATGGAGCTGGACTTTGTCGACGCGCTATCTGGTGTGCAATTCTCTCATCTGCGCACTGGAAATGCCGACTATCCCAACAACATTGCCACCAAATTGCAACACAGCCTTCGAGCGGTGCTGCCGGCATACATGGTACCCTCGATATTCGTTGCGTTGGATAGACTACCAAACACCGCCTCAGGCAAGCTCGACCGTGGCTTCATTGCAACATGTCTCGGCTCCCTCAATTACGAGAATTCAAACAGCGATGTTGCCAAAGTTGATCGCCCGCTGGATGGAAAAGAGGAGATGCTACAGGGCTGGTGGGAGCGCTTACTGGGAGTCGAAAAGAATCTTGTGACTGCTAACAGCGACTTCTTTTCTCTGGGAGGCAACTCACTCTCTGCAATCAAGCTGGTCAGTCTGGCCCGGTCGCTTGGCTACAAGACGACCTTTTCCGCCATATTCTCCAACCCCCTACTTTCGGACATGGCGACTCAATTTGAGCCAGTGCTGGAAGATGCGGCTGCTTCCCAACTCCCTGTCGGTGTTCCTGCATCAATGAAGCTGGATCTGATCTCTGAAACTGAAGCACGAACCGCCATCGACTATACGCTACCGACATACGGCATTGACTTCAAAGAAGTTGAAGACATATATTCAGCTACGCCCATACAGGAGGGCTCCATGGCCCTGACCGCGAGAACTCCTCATGCATGGCTCATGATTGCTCATATGGACATACCCGCATCCGATCTGGCGATGCTCAAGAGGTCATGGGAATCTGCATTCCAGCGATTCGAGCTATTGCGCACCCGTATCATCCCAGGTCAAGACGGCGCTGCTCTGCAGGTTCTCATGAAGAGTTGTCCTCTCACGTGGGAAGAAGTGCCGGATGTTGAGACATTCGCAAACTACGTATACGATAACCACGACTACGGCCAGCCGCTAGCTCGGGTTGGTTATGCTAAGGCAGCCTCCTCATCGCAAGATGGGGAAGACACAATTACCGTTCTTTTCAGCGCTTCCCACGCCCTCTACGACGGATGGTCCTTGCGCCCCATCTGGTCGAGGTTGTTCTCTAGTCCATCAACTGAGGATCATGACAACGATGAGAAAGCCACACAGTTCAAAGAGTTCGTACGATATCAGTCAGCATTGGATCCAGTGGATGCCATGGCCTTTTGGCAGAAGAAACTCAAAGGCACATCGGGAGCGGAATTCCCAGGTAAACCGGCAGATGTGGCTGCAAGCTATATGCCCATGGCCTCGTGGTCCATGAAGCAGAAGCTGCCTCTTCCAACTCCAGACATGCTTCGACAGTCTGGCGCAACAGTAGCGACCATCGCACAAGCAGCGTGGGCGCTCACTGTGGGTCATTTCACGGGAAGCAGTGATGTCATCTTCAGAACCATTTTGTCCGGCCGCGCCGCTGCTGCCGCCAGTGTTCCAGGTATCGAAGAGATGGCAGGACCAACAGCTGCATTTATCCCCTACCGCACACGTATCGATCATAGTGCTAGCATCTCGTCTTTTCTGGCTCAGTGCCAGAGTGATCAGCTCGAAGCTATACCGCACGCTCACATCGGGTGGGAGAAAATATCGCGGATCGATGAAGACTGCAACAAAGCATGCAAACTGCACAGTCTGTTCAATTTCCAGGCTGTTGCTTTTGATGACCTGGACGCTCAGCCAGCTGGTATCTATTCGCCGAAAGTATACGAGAATCCCAAGGGCCTATCTCCCAATGCCCTCGACGTTGATTTGGTGACTTTGGTGGGCGGAGAAGAGATCCTGGTTACCTTCAGTTACGACCCTGTTATTCTGCACACGTCACAGGTTGAGAGCATCATGGACACTTTCATCACGCTATTTGAACAGATGTTTCAGAAACCGGCGTCAACTCCAGTGGGAGACTTGAGTGCACTGTCGCAGTCACATTTGGAGACCCTCCAGCCTCAGCCGGCTGTGTTGAACAATGGATCCGATGCGAGCTTTGCATCGAGCGAATCGTGCATGCAACATCTTGTACGAAAGCACGTCACTCGCAACCCATTCCACCATGCCATTGAGTCCTGGCATGAGTGCATGACGTACATGCAGCTCGAAGATTACTCCAGCGTATTGGCTGAGAGACTGGTACGGCAAGGTGTGCGATCCAACCAAGCCGTCGGCCTAGTGCTCGACAAGTCACCATGGGTCATTGTCGCCATACTGGGCGTCTTGAAAGCTGGGGGTTACGTTGTGCCCTTTAATCCCAGTACGATCAGCAACTCGTTACCTGACTTGCTGCACGACGCTAAAACATCCATCGTTCTAGTTTCGCCAGCCTATGCGTCATCTTTCGCGGACATCTCTGGCTGTCGATGCATTGTTGTTGACAGTGAGACGTTGCCAGTACCCACTACAGCTTTCCTCAAGCCGGCCTATCGCTCTCCGGTGCCTACAACAAGATCAGACTATGCATTTGCATTGCCGCCTCCCTCTGCAGACGCAGGTTCAGCTCCAACATTCGTCACTCACGGAGAGCTCTGCGCTGCGCTGTTCCAAGTGGGGGAGCAGATGGACATGAGCACAGATACTCGGTCCCTGCTTTACAACGAAACATGGTCCTCTACCATGCTCGTCGATATCCTGGCTCCGCTTGCATACGGAGGTACAGTCTGCTGTCCGCCGCTAGGAAGCAGCATTTCCGATATTGGCGAAAGCATCAACTCGTTCGGTGTCAATGCCATCACAATTCCCGTAGCTGTATCTAGGGTACTTGAGCCGCAACACATGCCGACCGTACGACAGATATGCTTATACGGCGGTATCCCGACACGCCACGATGTGTCTCGATGGAGCCAAAGTACCAGACTGTTTCTCGCCTGGGGCGTAGCAGAGATGGGCGCGATTGCATTTCTGGGATCTCCTTCACAAAGTCAACATGGAGAGTTTGTCGGCACTTCCATTGGGACTCATGCGTCTGTCGTGAGCCCGTACAATGTCTCTGAGCGTGCGCCACCAGGAGCAATCGGAATTCTCAAGCTTGGTCATTCCAATATCTCTAGTCCACGTACTGGGCAAAGTGCGACTGAGGGGCTGCAGCGCTTCAGAGCCAACGTAGATGGAACGCTGAGTCTAGTCGAGTCTACAGCTGAGCCCAAGCTGGCACTCAACGGCCATAACATCAAGGCCAGCGCTATTGAGGAAGCAATCCGACAGCATCTACCCAGCTCCACGGACGTAGTGGTCGACATGTACGCTCCAGAAGTACTAGGCGGCAACCTCCAACTTGGAGCCGTAGTAACGACAAGCGAGCATGCAGCATCAGCTGTGCAAATCGTCTCGCCTCTCCTCCCCAAGCTCAAATCATCCCTTCCATCCTCCAGCACGCCAGCCTTCTTCACAGCGCTCCCGGCACTCCCGCTCACAGCAGCCGGCCAGCTCGACCGGCCCCGTCTTCAGGCACTCGTGCAAACCGCATCTGTCGACTCACTAATAACGTGTGCTGAAACACATCACGACGACGCCACTCTCTCGTCGAGCGAACGCCTACTAGCCTCGCTCTGGATCAAAACGCTGCAGCTCGATCCTGCAACGGAACTGAGCCGCAACGACCACTTCTTCGATGGTTGGAGCGCCAATTCGCTGCTTGCACTGCGGCTCACGGCGGAGCTGAAGCGAAGCGGCTGCATGCTGCGTGTGCCGGATATATATGAGCATCCTACGCTGGGAGGTATGGCTGCGGTTATGCGGGGGGATGGGTTGGTCGTGTAGGTGTATGTATTGGGTATGGGGTTTCATGGCGGAAAGAGATCTACTGGATTGAGATGAGGTTGTGGAAGTGTTCTTTTGTTGGATATAGGGAAGGGGGGGTTTTGGTGGGTGGGGAGACGTGTTTGGGATACGGCGTTTGGGTGATATATTCATAGTACTGTCGTGTTTTTTTTTACAAATATCTTACGTCTAGGTTGTTGACTTGGTGTAGTGCTCTTTCGAGAGAATGAATCGTATAATGTGATATTCGGAGTGTATACTTGTGTTCAATACCTACGTAAACATGGTGCGAGAGAGAGTCCACCGCGGAAAAGCAGCAATAAAGTTATCGTGTCACACTGTAAACACATCGTCCTCGCTATCAAGACTACCTGGAACATCACACAACATGCTCGGTAAACATGATGCTGGAAAAAATTAATTTTAATTTTTTTTTATTCTTCCTCAAAACACCATGCACACTCCTACCATATACCGTCCCCATCATCCCTCGCAGCAGCAACAGCAGCAGCAGCAGCAGCAGCAACCCCTCCTTTCCGCACCGCCACACCCCCTAATTCCCATATCATGCGAAAAAAACAGAAACTTCCGCCGTACCAATGCATTTTCGTTGTCTAGTCGTATATATAAAGCCTGCAGAAAACTCCGCCATCCCGCTCCATATCCTACTGTAAGAAAGAAAGAACGAAAAAGTGCAGTTGCAGTGTACCGTGTATCATGTACCGTGTATAACCCCTATTTTTTCGGCAAATAAAATAATAACACCCGTGGAAACCGTGCCATGTATGCATGTGTACTGTATGTATGTGACCAAGTAAGTCGCCACTACAGACACAAAAAAACTCGGAATAGAAAAAAGAAGAAGGGGTGAGGGAAAAACGAATCCAGTTTGCGGACTGGGATTCAGGGAGAATGGGGGGGGGGGAAGAGGAAGGGAAGGGGTAGAGATGTGGCTAGGCACAGCCTAGATTTACATTCGTGCCGTACTCGAGAAGCACTTTGAGGACGTCGAGGCGTTGCAGTTTGACGGAGAGATGGAGGGCTGTCATATTGTGTGCGTCACAGGCGTCGATGAAGTGGGCCAGGAGACTAATTTTGCGGGCTGTTGATGACGTCGTTGTTGTAGTTGGGACGGTAGAGTTCTGTCTGGTTGGTGTGGTGGTGGTGTTGGCGGGAGGAATGGTTGTAGTAGAAGTGGTAGAGCTCAGAGGAGTATCAGTTGTAGCGGTGTCTTGAGGGAACGCGTCTTTTTCGTTGGCACACCAATCTAGCAGCATGGTGACCATGGCTTCGCTGCCTGTGCTGACGGCGAGATGGAGTGGCGTCCGACCGCCGGCGGTCGTGTGCATGATGCTTGCGCCGAGGTCGAGCAGTGCGTTGGTCGTGGCGATGTCGCCGCGGCGGACGCAGTGGTGTAGGAGGGTGTCTCCGTTGCGGTCGGGCAGGTCGAGTTTTGCGCCGGAGCGGACGAGGAGACGGGCTATTTCCATGTTGCCGAGGGAGATGGCCGTGTAGAGTGGGCTTGAGGTTTCGTCTGGGAAGACCATGGAGCTGCTGTTGCTGCTGTTGGGGCAGCTAGCGTTGTCGTCTGTGCCTTCTGGGTGGGGGCGGTGGCAGCAGCTCTTGAGCAACGACATGGTTGAGGGATTACCAAAGGGGCTGTCGTCAATGACGGATGGCGGCCATTCTGAGACGGGCGTAGGCAGGCTGCCGAGCGTGAGTGCTGTTGACGAAGATGAAGATGACGATGATGATAATGATGATGACGAGGACGATGAAGAGGACGATGACGATAGATGATGCGATTCAGAACTCATGATGTACTTGTCGATATCACTGGATGAGAGTGGAGAAGTGGCGGATACCGGTAGCGTTCCATTGGAAGATGTTTCCTCGTTGCTGTGCATCCAGTCGAGGCGGGCGAGTGACGGATCTAGGCAGTCCATGTCGCTCATTGCTGTTGTAGAGTCGGTGGATCCCATATTGTGGGTGTTGCCGCCGCTATCGAGATCAAATGACATGCCATGCTGTTCGAGGGCGGCCACTAGGGCATCGCTGTCGCGCAGTAGCCGCGTGGGTCGGCCGTTGTCAGTATATAGAAGATGCCTCACGGCTAGAGATTGAAGCGTTTTACATGGTGGCGAGGATCTTTGTGTGCTGGGAGAAGCAGTGGCAGTGATGGCGACGGAGGATGAGGATGAAGTGGACGAAATGTTGTGCCGACTCGCAGCAGTCTGATAAGCCTCGTCAAAATCGCCCACCGAGGAAAGCCAGTCGCGCCTTTCGGCTACCACATCGGTCTGGTCGTGCGGTTTATCGCACAAAATAGCCTTGGCGAGTTCGATGCGTAGTTTCTGTCGTGTTCCTGAGGCAGCACAGTTAGTGTCGTGGTCACGTGGTTTGGATACCTCGTGGGGTCCGGCTTAGGCTGTGGCGCCAAGGGCTCAGTCTCTAGGCAGGTGTCGACTAACTCACGGTATTTTTTCTGAGCGGCTCTATTCTGGGCCTTGCGGCGCTCGTTGACATCGGCCATGTTGGGCGAGGTGTGGCGGGGAGAAGCCATTGTGCCGGGCTGTAAGTAGGACCAGATGTTGCCAACTTTGGTGGCCGAGACTGGATACGAGGAGGGCACGGCTGCCATTAGTATATGAAGCAAAAGCCCAGTTCAAAGGAATACCAGCAATATCCACGGATCTAAGCTGAAAGGCGCAGGGCAAGCGTGAGGCCAAGAGCACTAGCCCCCAGACTAGTCCCTAAAGAGGAAGGACATGCATAACGCGTTTTGTAAGGCGTATTGCTCATGGCCATCAAATGGCATGCATTTAATTCCCTCAAAAAATACTGGCTCTTCCCTGCATCAAACACTGCCGGTTTCACACCGGCTTTTTTTTTCTCGCAACGGTGGTGCGTGGATATACTTTTCGCCCCCACGGACATGGGCATAGCATGGCCTCCACACGTCTGCTTACGTGAACGTGCTGACGAAGAAATCGCTCGGCTAAGCCACTGGAATGAGCATCAGGTCCGATAAAGGAGTAAGAAAAGGTCAAAAATACCTGGAGAAAAGAGTGCTTCCGAGCATCTTTACTTATAATTGTTATACCTGGGAACAACCTCCCTCAGCAGTCCACATACACAGCGACCTTTCCTCGACGACATCAACCCACCACAGCAGCACTGCTTGAACCAACGTCATTTCAAGCCTCGACCTGGACAATGACGGACCAAATCTTGGACAAGCTTCGACAGACGCCACTTTGCTATCTGTTGACCGGAACGGTGCTCATCGGTTTCGTAGTGGCCAATGTCAAATCCCTGCCGCTAGCCCACACGCTGCGACTGGTCCCCTCAGTATATAGACTATTGAGTGCAAGAGTCGGGTCGAAACGCACTAAGCGCGCATCTGCAGATCCGCCAACGACGACGACGACGACGACAGCAACGTGCTATGCCGCACTGCCCGCTCTGTTCAAGCACTACACGCTGGTGTCTCGCGCCATCGCGCTCGATCTAGACATCAACATGCACAAGTCTAACAGCACCTTTTTTACCGACGCCGACATCAGCCGCGCCAAGCTTATAACAAGTCTTCTGAGTCAAGCGTTGGCAAGCCTTGGATCGCCCGCCTTCATTTTGGCCGGGGTGCAATGCAAGTTCCAGAGAGAGGTCCGCCCCTACCAACGCTACGCCGTGTCGTCCCGCATCCTGGCCTGGAATGCCAAGGCCATGTACGTCGTCACGTACTTCATCAAACCCGGCGCGAAGCTGGAGACGGAGCTAGACCTGAGAGGCGGACCTGGGGCGCTGGCCAGTGACAACGTGGTGCGCAAGACGCTCTTGGCTACGATGGTGTCCAAATACGTCTTCAAGGCGGGGAGGACAACCTTGGCTCCCGAGCACGTCTTTCGAGAAGCAGGTCTCCTCATCGAGGCTGACGGCAAAGACGGCATTGCGGTGGCTGACGGGCTGATCGGCAGTGAAGACGTTGCGGCGAGCGTGCAGGCGGGCCTGGCGTACCTTGGGCAGTGTATGGAGTAGCGGCCATTTCCCTATCTGGGACGCTGCATGCCTCTAGGGAAGACGGAGGAAGGCATTCGGGAGGGGGGACGGAACGACGCGTGGACAGGTGTAGATATTCAAAAGTGGCCGTCGGCACGGATCGCTGCCAAGACTGTCTCGCATCCAGTCAATCTAACTAGCCCCACCACAAAGTGCGCGCGACCACAAAGTGCGCGCGCGGCCTCACCAAAACTACCTTAAAAACGAGGCTATAGAGCCACACCAAATAGATATTATCACGATATATTTTGGTGGTGAGATCAATAGGCTTTAATATATATATACAGCTATAGAAATCGAGACGGAGTTCTAATCGCGCGGCCGCGACGCGAGGTTGGAGGTGGTGAGCTTGCAGCACCTCCCTGAGGCTCCTCACCACCTTGAGGCCTCGCGATAGGCTTCTTTTTTTGAGTAGCCTTTGCAGGAGCCATGAAGCTCCTTCTCCTACCCCTTTGAGAAGTTTTAATAGCTTTTTGAAGTTGTTTTGCAGCCTTGCGAGCCGCGATCCTTGAGGCCTTTTTAATAGCCTTCTCCTCCCTCTCCTTCTGCCTCATTAGACTTACTGCAAGCTCGCCTGACGCCTCTGCTCCTTC